ATTCAACTGGCCAATGAAACCGTCACATGCTGCCCGAATGTTGCTCTGCGGTATTTTCGCCCATTCCCGGCGAAGTGCTTGCTTGAGGCGATCGACACTTTGGTATTTTTTAGTTCTAAACTTGCTTTCCCAAATACTCCAGACACAATAGTCCAACGGATAGGTATCCGGAGATTTTGGAGGCCATTGTGAAGCGAGGAACCTCATTTTGTAACCATTCTTGGGTGACGCGTGTTGAATGCAGTGTCCAAGGTCTGCGACCAAAAGTTTGCGTGCCCAGGGCTTTCATACACCCTTCGGAATATTTTCGCGATAATATTCGGCATTTATTCTGATACCACGGTCGATTAATATGAGCAGAGAGCGACCATCGGCTGTTATGGCAGCCCATACCATCACCATGGCCGGCGCTAGAGTTCTGGTGGCCAACCGAAGCCGCACATTTTCAGCTCACCTTTTTGGCAAGTAAACACGATCATTTTGTTTGTTTACAAACTGCTGGACAACGAATGTTTTCTCATCGGAGAAAACCAAATACGTCAGTTCACCACTTTCATTTTTCAATATTTTCCGAATGGTATATTGCAACATGTTCAGCTCACGAGCCACTTTTCGGCCACTGCGACGCGGGTTTCGATCAAGTCGCTTCTTTACATTCCGAACCATTTCTGCTGATGTTGCTGTTTTCTTCCGTCTACTTCCTTGACGTCAGGCTACGCTGCAAGTATCACGGTAACGAGCGGTGGTACGAGACTCAAAAAAATTATTCACATTTAAATGCCGGAGTGCTCTATCGATAGCCACTTGTGGTTTCCCAGCCAAATATAAAGACATCACACTACCACGCTTGAATTCCATCACGAATAAATTTTTTTCTGGAAAATTCTCACCAAAATGCAGTCTGAAATTGGTTGCAGTTTTTTCATCTCACCCTATAAATTATTTTATACGGCCAAAGCGTGTCTCATCGAATGAACTATTTTAGGCCCTAGGTCTCTTTAGACCAAATTCGTTTCAGGACAATTGGAGTCAATCTAGTTATGTCCGAAGGGAATGTCCGATTTGATCCAAACTTGGTACATCGCAATATTATTATCAAACTTAGATCGAGTTCGGAGATGGGCAATATCCGTCCACTACTTCTGGTACCTCCCTCACAAAAGGTCGAAATTTAAAAAAATATATATATTCTTTCTGCATAGAATGAGAAAGAATAATTCAATTTTGCTCCAACTTTGCAAATCCTAATATTTGTGTCAGTGCTAGGTTAGGTGCGAAAATGTACAATATCGGTCCCCTCCCATCAAGTACCTCCCCACAAAGGGTCGAAATTTTGAAAAATTATAACTCTCATAAAATGTGTTTTAAAAATTTTATTTTCTTCAAATACACCCAACACAATATTTGTATTAATCCAATATCTAGTGTGAAGATGGAATATATCAGTCGGCTCCTCCCTCCCCTCCCCACAAAGGGTACAATTTTTGAATATCCATTAAGCCCATAAAATATCTGATTGTATTCAAACTTTATACATCTCAATATTTTAAGCAACACAAGATCTGTTATAAAGATGGAAGAGATCGGACTATTCCTTCTGGTACCTAACGAAACTTGTTTTCCCTTCAATATTTATCGTCAATGGCGTAATTGTGAATAACACACATAAAACAAGATTCTTAACTACGGTACAATTTGCATACTTACAAAAAATCCCTTTAATAAGCATTCACGCAATCACGCTTAATAGCTATAGTGGTCCCGCTGCTGTCAAAGCTCTTCTAATGATTTGAGAATTGTATCCCATAAAAACCTAAAGAAAATATTTGACGTCCTATCTAAAGCCAATAAATTGGCAGCATATCAATAAGCCATTACTATTTAACAATAAAAAGCGGAAAACCCCACATTAGCAATTGAGAGGCGCTAATGTTTGGTACAAACCACCCACCCGCACATCTTCCCACCCACCCATCATATCTTTCAGATAAAATGTTTACTTCAAGTAATTAATGAGTCAACTGTCACGAACACATCAATCGTTTCCTTTTGCGGTCAATCGATGGAGAAAATTTGCACAAAATTGTGGCTGCCACATTTTTTGAAGACCATCATTCGCGATTTTTCCCACTGAGACCCCACCAAAAAAATCAACATCAACATGACAGACAGAATATAAATATGTAGAGTGATTTTTAGCGCTAAGTCTATTAGCCAAGCAATAAATCATTCAATTTTTTCGCTGTTGTTGAGTTTTCAAATACTGACAATTTCGTTAACTTTCATAAGCATGGAATGTGGACGACTTATTGCATAAGAGGAAGGTGAGTCGTTATTATCAATTTCCAACAAAGAGATTTTAAATTCTCTATGATAAACCCTAATTTTTGTCGACAATTAAATTTTCCGATGCATAGGAGGAATACCTTAACTCAAGAAATAATAAATCAATTATGTGATAAAGTAATGAGTAAAAAAGGATAACTTTCGGCAGGGCAGAATTTTTAATATCCCCCGGCATGAGACAAACTTTAAAATAAAATTACAGAATTCTATATTCCAACGAATTCCATTTCAAATCAAAGTAAAATGTAGTTATATATCGGTACTATACCAAAACGTGTACCTACTTTGGTTATTTTGAAATCTATTAAAACAAATCCATTAACAATTTTAGCTAAAATCATGAAGAGTATATACCTATATGGGCCTCTTTCTGTTTGATAGATTGCTACCCGCAAAAAACTTCAAATACCTATTTCCAAACAATTCCGTTAGAAAGTACCGAAGGCTATACAAAAATGTAGACCTATATAAACAACTAGCAAGTGCCCACTACTTCGTCGGCGAAAAGTCCATCTTAAATCCTAGAAACCAACTATAACCTCAATATCAAATTTCAGGCTTGAACCTCTATATTATTTCACTCAAATATAGTACCGTTTAGTACTTTTTGGACAATCATAGTGTACGCATTCCCGAATCCACCTTCTTCTCTCAACTACAGAGACCAACATAGTCAAATTTCAGGATTCCAGCCCTATCCCTCCACCCAACATAAAATTGAGTACTATTTAGTACCTGTCGCACAATTATTGTACAAAATTTCCAAATCCACCTCCATATCTCAGTTCCAAATATCAACAGAGACCTCAATATCGAATTTGAGGATTTCAGCCATATCCATTCACCCAATTCCAAATTTCCGTACTTTTCGTACAATTATAGCACACATTTCCGAAACCACCTTCATACCTTAATTCCAGATACCAACAAAAAACTTCAATATAAAATTTAAGGATTGCAGACCCATCCCTTACCTAATCACAAATATATTACATTTTAGTAATTTTCACACTATTGTAGTACATTGAAAACCTGGTCCATATCTCAATTCCAGATAACAACATAGATCTGAATATCAAATTTGAGAAATCCAGCTCTATCCATTCACTCAATCACAAATATAGTACCTTTTAGTACTTTTCGTACAGTTATGGTACATATTTCTAAAACACCTCCATATTTCAATTCCAGATAACAACAGAGATCCGAATATCAAATTTTAGGATTCCAGCCCTATCCGTTCACCCAACACCAAATTGAGTACTCTTCACTAGTTTTCGTGCAATTATAGCACACATTTCCGAAACCACCTTCATATCTCAATTCCAGATAACAAGAGAAACCTCAATATGAAACTTGATAAATTCAGCCTTATCAAGCCACCCAATAATAAATTTAGCATTATTTAGTACTTTTCGTACAATTATAGTACATATTTCCGAAACAACCTCCATATGTACAGGAAACACATGAACAGCGACCCTAATACCAAATTTAAGATATGAAACAGTAATATTTACTACTTTTCGTGCACTTTTTGTACACATTTCCAAAGTCACCATTTTATCGCAAACCTACCACCATCAGGGACCCCAATACACAATTTTAGATTCCAGGCACTATCCGTCCAACCAAAACCAAACTTCCCAATCCTACACTCCGATATTGGTTCACCCAAATCCAATTTATAGCCTATTTAGTACCTTTTAGTACACTTAAGAACAAAATGTACATAAAACCTACATCATACATTCCAAAAGCAATGTTATTTCCAATTTTCAGGATTCCAACACTACCGGCTCACCCAAAATTTAAATTGTAAAAATTGGGTACCATTTAGTGCACATAAGTACGTATTTAAAAAACTACCTACATACCTCAGTTCTAAAATGCATTAGTTATCTTATTTTAAAGTTCAGAATTCCAACTCTATTGGTTCTCCCAAAATTTAGATTGTACGAAATTTAGTACCATTTACTACACATAAGTACGAATTTCCAAAATTACCTACATTTCTCAGTCCTAGATTGTCATAGTAATCTTATTTTTAAATTTCAGAATGTCAGCTCCACCCAAATCGAAATTGTGCTGAATTTAGTACTATTTAATATTTTTCATGCACATAAGAACAAATATCAAAAACTACCTCCATATCCCAATCCTTCACTCCGCCAATAATATTAATTTAAAAATTCAGGAATACAGCTCCAACTGTTCCTCCATATTCAAATTGTCCTAAATGTAATACCCTCAGTACTTTCCCTATACATGAGTGAACACTTCCAAACTACCTCCTTACATCAGCCATACTCCTCAACTTTATTACCATATTTAGTTCCTTTTAATATTTTTCGAACCGTTCTAGTATGGGCAATTCAGAAATTGAAAAATGAGAATAAAATCATCCAAAAAGCGAATATCGGTGCCCCCCTTCATTTTGGGGTTTGAGGGGCCTAAAATGGTAATTTCGATGAGTTACAAACGGATTGACAAACTTAATATACCCTCCATGCTATGTATGGAGGAGAGTATTAAAATTGCTCGTTCTCAGATGTTTTAGACAATTTCTCTTTCTCCTGCAAGCAAATATTTACCCCAAATAAGCATGCCTAATGTAAAGTGAAACTAAGTGGAGACAGACAAACGACGCTCCTGCCTGGACATATTTCAAAATATCATTTTTGTCAAATTTAAAAAAAAAAAATATATTTTTTCAAATACTTCATTTCTGAAAAAAATGATGTTTCTAAAATCCACCGCTGCATTTTGTACTTCCAAATATCTCAACAGCTTACGAATTCATCCCACAAGATCATTGGTCTCCGCCGGCTGCAATACCCCGGAAAATACGACCAATCAACGTCCAATTGAACCGGCCAAAGTTCGTATGGGTTTCATACCCGATGATTGGTTTACATTCTTCTACAACAAAACCGGGGTGACTGGTCCATACATGTTTGGAGTGGGCCTACTGAACTATCTCTTCTCCAAGGAAATCTATATTTGTGAACATGAATTCTACAATGGCCTCTCAATGGCTTTGCTGTGTATTGCAGCCGTAAAGAAACTTGGACCGCTAGTGGCCGATTACTGTGACAAAGAAATTGATAAAATCGAACAAAAGTGGCAACAAATGCACAAGGAGGAACTAAAAGCTCTCGAGAGTCTAATCGAACATGAACGCCAGGAACAATGGCGTGCCGAGGGTAGCCTGCTGCTGATGCAAATGAAAAAAGAAAATATTGCCTTGCAGCTGGAGGAGGCTCACCGGAAGGCAATGATGAAAGTGTATGAGGATGTAAAACATCGTCTGGATTATCAGGTGGATTGTCGCAACATTGAGATACGCATCAATCACAAACACATGGTTAACTGGGTGGTGAACAAGGTATTGGCAGAGGCACCATTGCCAGATGCCGACGATGAAGCGGCAAGGGAGAAATATCGTGCGGACTTGAGTGCCATGGCGTTGAGAATTAAATGAATTTTGTCTTGGCAAAAGAGGTAGATTTTCAATGTTTATATTTTGGAGTTTCTAATAATTTTTTTTATTCGAAAATAATACAACTAAACATTAGGGTGTTTGTGCAGCATATTTCTTCTATTTTAACCTCAAATTTTTGGAGAAGTTAATAGTAAGTTATGAGATATATTTTTAAGATTTTTAATGGAAAATTGAAACAATGTCAACTCTGACCACTACGTAACAGTTTCTATATAGATTTGGCTCAAAGGAATGGTTGAAATTAGTTGCATGACTTTTGGTATTTTAAATGGGCCATGTTGGTCCATGTTGAGGTATATCCTCCATATAATGGTACCTCCCGATTTGAAATTTTCATCTGAGAGGCCGTAAAGTATGTATAGTCAAGAGAACAATACGATTCAATGTATATTTGGCGATGACCGTCCGCTGATTTAAATCAATTTAGAGACCACAATATCAGAAGATATATATAGCACTCGTAACATTTCCGGAGTCGATCTAGCGATTTCCGTCCGCTCGTTTGTCTGTCTGGTGTGCACGATAAATCTCGAAGGGAGCATCTGATTTTGTACTTCGTAATATTATTATCAAACTAAGATCGAGTTCGAAGAGAGGTAATATCGGTCCACTCCATCTGGTTCCTCCCCATCAAAAGGTAGACATTTTCAAATAAAATATTTTAGTACATAGAAAGAGAAAGGGTCATCTGATTTTGCTCCAACTTTGCAAATCCTAGAACTTGCATCAGTGCTAGCTCAGGTGTGAAAATCAAGATCTGTTGTGAAGATGAAATGTATCGGTCCACTCCTTCTTGTACCTCACACACAATGGGTCACTGTTTTCAATTTTTTTTATCTGTCATAACTTGCGAAATATGTCAGCAATTCGTTACAACTTGCTATATCTAAATATTTCTGTGAAACAGTAACCTGAGATGAATATGGAATTTATGATCTCGCATAAAATTGGATATAAATATTCGATTTTCCTGTAATTTTGCACATGCCAATATTTTTATCTGTATTAGATGGGGTATGAAAATGGAATACTTCGGTCGACTATGTCTGGTACATCAGGCACATTTTAACATTTTCTAAAAATTCTCACATATTTAATTAAAATGGAAGAAAGTACTCGATATAGTCCAAACCTGGCATGCCTTAATGTATTTTTATCATATTTATTTATGTCCGATACGTAATGGACAATTTGAATAATCACAACAGAAGTCAAATTATATTTAAATCATCGAACATTGGCTCAGGGTATACATCTGTCGACCAAACCGACTGATACTTCTTAACTTGTTTATTATTTGATCATTGGCATGTGAGAATCTGAAATTTTTAAACGTTCCTTTATGGGCTCCCTTTGTATTTTATATGTATTATGGTATTGTCAACACAAAAAAATAAATTGGCTTCAATTTTGTATTGGCATTTAATTGAACCAAAGACCTAAAATGGTAAAGACTAGACAAAATGCATTCTGAGCAAATGGTTTGTGGCTATACTACCTTGAATAACAGCTCATGACAGAGGCATGTTAATATAAAAAACACAATTATAGGAAAGAATGACAAATAAAAGTTTGGATAATCCAAAATATTGGTTTCAAAATTCTATTCCATATACCTTCCCAAATAATTGCATACTGCCTTAGCGGTTTAAATTGCTTAACATTGGTAACTATGTTGTTACGATATCATAACAACAGAGGTATTTTTCACAGTATTGCCATATTTTACTTTGTCTTGTCCTATCTTTATACTTCTATGTCTTTGATTGAACCCCCATGTGGTATCGTCCACCCTATTTAAGGTATTTTGAAGATTTGTTCTGATTTTACCAATTTCTCAAAGTACATCTTAATTTTGAACTTTATGCATACGATTCCATCGAAAATTCAGAATTGTGATTACAATGATTGTTTTGGTATTTATCATTTTTAGGTGTCATAATGTCATGAGATATTATAAAGAATTTTCAGAGCCGTACTCAAATCCTGCCGTTGTTTCCCTTTATAATTTGACATTTGTATGCCGTGCTACGATGACAAGCTGTTTATGTATCATGACCCTTAGAAAGCCCCAAATGACATGTTAATTACATTCAGAATGGGTGCATTGAAAAATATTTACAAATCATTGTATGTTAAAATGGAGGGTACATGGGTGCATATGTGTGTAAGAAGCAATGTGTTGCAATTTTTTTCAAATTAGTTGAAATTTTATAACCCCACCCTGACCTTATGTTTATCTTCAAAGTGTACTGCTGAGGAATTATAGGTTAAAGTCCAAGTTTTGATTTTTACATTTCGTATTTTTATAGCCTACAACACTATGTGTTGGGGGTATTATAAGTTTGATTGGGCCAAAGATTATGTAACACCACGAAATATTGGTTTCCCATATAGGAAAGTATATATGGATCTTCCTAGCTCGCCGAGCTGAGTCGATCTAGCTATGTATGTCTGTCCGTCTGTCCGTCCGTCTGTCCATGTTAATTTGTAATCACGCTACAGGTCGCAATTATGGCCCGATCCTTACGAAATTTTGCACGAAGGTGGGGTTTGAGTCAGAATAGAAGCCTATTTCTTTTGGAGATGATCGCCAAATGTTTAGGGTTTGAAATGAACCAAATACTGAAAAAATGTTGGATTTTGCAGTAGCTATACAGGTCGCAATTATAGACCAATCGACGCGGAATTTCGCATGTAGCTAGAGTTTAGGGCAGGGAAGAAGCCTACCAAATTGGGTGGTCATCGGATAATATTTAGCGGGTAAAATAGACCATATCTTTTTTGTTGGAAAAATTCAAAATTTTTCATTAAACCGCGAATATTTTAAATCCCGGCGAAATCACAAAGCCATGACAAGGTTACTTCTGATCTTTACATTGATCTTAACATTCAACAAATCAGATATATAGCAAAATATGTGCGATATATATGTCTATCAAAGAAGATATGCTTGAAAGATCTCTTATATGTCGAGAACGGCTGAACTGATTTCGACAGTTCTCATTAATTCAGAATGGCCTCTTGGCAGGAAAGAAAAACGTCTAAGAAAATCGCATAAAAATGTCTCTCTAAAGATGAAAATATTGATTTTCTAAAATTTTCTCATATTTTTTCAATTTTGTCATATTTTTGGCATATTTTCATTTTGAATTAAACATTTGGTAATATTTCTACAGCTAACAAAACTAAGTAGTTAGGATATCAGGATATCATATACAGATCGCATTTATGGCCCGATCCTTACGAAATTTTGCATGGAGAGGGTCAGAATAGAAGCCTACTCTTTTTGGAGATGATCGCCATATATTTACGGGTTGAAATGGACCAAAAAACTGCAAAATTGTAGCAGGTCGTAATTATCGCCCGACCCTCACGCACATTTGAATGGGGGTTACCGGACATTGCAAAAGCCAAGCAGTTTTGGATGTCCATCCAAAAATATTCAATGTGCGAAATAGTTTGCCAACTTTTGTAGATAAATTACGAACATGTCCATTCCAGTGACTTTTTGGAGAATACACAAATACAAGAATGACGCACTTCTGACTATTTCGTTAACGCTGATTTCGTTGAAGAATATAGTCAGTCAAAAACCAATAATAAATGTTAATCTTTTGCCACTTCTGAGAGAATATAGGTCTTTGGGAAATATTGGTTCCAGATCTAGGAAGACCATTTAAGTGTAACATCTACCAATAAATTGGAAATGAGCAAGTTAGCTTACGTTGCAATTATTCGAAAATTAGAGAAGAAACCTGATGGTTTTCTTTTATTATTTGTCACAATATCTTGTGGAATTCATTCGAGTATCTCGCCTATATAAACTGTATCACTTATTATAGTGTTGTAGGGTATTCAACGGTCGGCCCCGCTCGACTGTAGCCTTTGCTTACTTGTTTTATATTAAGTTTTCCTTTAGAAATGGTTCGAATGGAATTCCACACGATTCTACGGTCATTTGGTATGTCGTCGGTTTTATGGATATGAAATCATTTCTCTACGACCTTGTACTCTTCGCTTCGCCCTATCGTTGACGGACGTTCGACAAATTGGCGATTAAAATAACTTAAAATAAGTTTCTCTCTTGGGATCATCCACCGTGAATGATGTTCTGTCATCCTTCTTCCCAAGGTTCGAGATCGATTTGACCGTTAGCCAATGTCATAGCACTTCTGACGTGCTTTTTCCTCTTTTTCTCTTCCAAATTGTTGGCCTCTACTGGTTATGCTGGGAAGCTGAGTTATGTCGGATATTGGACTTGCAGAAATATTGTGAGCGTTTGCAGTTTTGTGGGATAACAATTTTGAAATCAGGTTAACTTCTTATGGAGACGATTATGGGGAAATAATCTAACCAAGAGAAATGACGAGTAGCCAAATAACGTCACCTCAGACCTGGTTTGACGGCCTCCTCTTATTCGGCTGGGGGCATCTTTATTTACCGTGCGGAATCAGCTGTGCCTGCGCCAATCCCCTCGGAACATCAGCTAGGACTAAATGTCACAATTCATGGAGGGCATTAAAGCACTTGGTACCAGTTGGTCATTGCCTATCAAAAACGAAGGTACGGCAAATAACACAGTTCGCGTCTATTAATCGACGGGATATTGTCATTAAGCACCTCCACCTCGACAGTTTCATATTTGACTGCAACCCCATATATTCCAAAAAGGGACTAGCTCAGGCGAGATATGTTTGTATTAAACAAAATAATGTAATACGATCGCTAAACCCCTCACCACTACTTTTCGTTTGATTCTTTCTCAATCATAACCACGTTATAAGCTGCAATTTCACTTGAGCTTCAATCCTGCAACGCTGCGAGTGAAATATTCCTCCAATTTATATATACAACTATCTCATATATTTTTCCTCGGAATCATTGGCTACTTAATTGCAAAAACGATGCATGTGGCGTAAGATGTTGCGGTATAAGTTGCTGAACGGAAGGCTGCATTGGAGTTCCGTGCTCCGACGACGACCCACATGATAACTCT